TAACAAAAATAGCAGAGTTAGAGGTCTTGATTGTTTACGAAAATTGCCTTGTACTGCCGATGTTACGCGTTCGCCTGACTGCTGATGCCGCCGCATAAGTGGAACGAGGGAGCGAGAGACCTCTAAAAGAATTACAAACCGGGGGAGAGAAAAGCTCACCGGCGGCGCGTACGCGGCGCGTGCTGGTGACGTCAAAATGACGTTACAGCTGCGGCAGGCTCAAAAGAAGGGCAAGCAGCAGCTAGCACCACTGCTACTTCGTTCAATTGGTCCTGGCATTATAACAAACTGTCCAGCCGCGACCGAGATGATTGCGTTATGTACAGGCACCGTCTTCGCACTAGGGATTGAATTATTTCAAAATAAATAGAATTTAGGTATTGCAAGCCCTTACCTTAGAAGCAGATAATTAAGTTGAAGTTGATTAAACCGAGTTCGCTTTTCGAGTTCGATTGCTACTTCTACTCATTACAGTGAAAGAGCACGATGATGCCTGAAGTTCTCACTGTATTGAAGTACTAGCGGCAGAGTTGTCCCTTGCTCACTCGCCCGACACGCGATAGCGTCCGCGCCGCCGGTGAGCTCTTCCATAGAGACTTGCAAACCAGTGCTCCTGAAACAGTAACTTATTAATTCAACGCTATGCTCATAGCGAATAACAGTAAAGTCTCAATTTTTGTAAGTAAAAGAGCCAAAAGGTGCAAATGTAATTGATAAATAGACAGCTCTATTAACATTGTGCGTGCCATGCAGACGTGTCTGTTTAAAGGTACTGTTGAAAGGTCGGATAGAAAGTGAAGACTTGTGATGTGTGAAAAACCGTAGCATTTCTGAAAAAGAGGAGCACATCATGAATTAGCAACGGTTCTAAGCGGCTATATTGGTATGAGAACCATTGAGGTAGGGAAGCCCCTCTCTCCGGGCCCCATACAAAGGAATCGCTTTCATGATTATTTCACATCTGTCGCTGACGGAAGTGCTGTCATAGAGAAATGTAAGCCAACTAACTCCACTCCAGTACCATCATTAGCAAAACCCGACGTAAAATACGTAAACTAAAGCGGGCGATGCACACATCCCACATCCTAAGTTCTCTACTGCCGGTTTGCCGTACAATGGGGGTATTCCGATTTTGGCTGCTCTAACTGCATTACTAATATGCTCAGGCTGCCAGCTGACTGGCAGTTTTTCTCACGACAAGCACGAACTCCAAAGCTGCGCCCCAGCACGGTGTGTGCCGCAGCGCGGAGGTTCCATTCCAGCTAACGGTTAGAATTGTACCGTACCGAAATGAAGTAAGTTAGCTCATAGTATCAACAACACATGTACTCATCTAAGTGTCCCCCAACAAATACACATAATTTGCACCTAGCAGCTAGGACTAAGCCGAGCTGCGAGCTGGGAGGGAGCAAGTCAATGGACAAAAACGAAAATGCTTGAAAATGCCATGAATCCGCGGGGATCTCACTATTTGCTAAGGCACATCCTAGACGCCTCCTCACCCGCCGCACCGCAACCGAACGGAAATATGTTATGCTTTCCGTGATTTCTATAGCACGTTTAGCGTTTTAAAATGCCCGTACCGTGAACAAGATCCTCCCAGTAGTGAACACATAAATAATAGTATCAGCTAGAAAAAGCCGGCACTATTGCACGCGTGCAACCCCAGTAGAGGTGAAATAAGTCAGAAAAATTTTTCGCGCAAATTTCTTCTATAGGACAAATTGAAGGGTGTGGGACGGACAGAGTGAATGGCTTTGACTCACTTTGGAACCATCCAGTCTCCAGCCAGGCTTAGTCCCGATTGCGATCTAATTAGTGGGAGGCGCAGACGAGCGGGAAATATTCACCAGCGCCAACGACAAAAACGAATGTCATATTCTTAATCATGTGCAAAATCACAACGAATTTGATGAAATTCAGATTCATTTTAGCGCCAGCGCCGAGAATGGACCTCATATTCGTGATCGGAACTCTCGAAGACACCCTGGTGGAAATTTTCAACGGAAATTTTTTTGACCCTATCAATACCAGACAGCCACGCACGCTGCCGCGCGCTCCATTCTGCTGTTGGCGTTTTCGAAATGGGCGCCAACCACGACCATCCCCCTCCCCTTCCGCATGAGTCACCCCCATCACCTTAGCCTAACGCTCGCAAACGCGGTTCTCCCACAGCGCGCACTCCCTCGCCCTTACGCCTCCAACCCCGACTCTCTCCCGTCGCATGCTCTCTCGCACCGTCTGGCGCTTGCTCTCGCACTGCACTGCTCTCCACAAAAGCATAGCCCGCGTTCCCCTCTCGCGCTAGCAAACCGCCGTGACACACACATACCACACACAAACATACATACCCGCGGGCGACGGACTTTTGGTGCGTCGGGGTTGCACGCGGCAAATCGCGCGGCGGGGTGCGCGAGGATCCGGACGAGGGAATTTGTCGCGGGCTCCTGCAGTGGAATTCAACACGTAGAACGTGTGCAGATCGCGGATAGAATCCATAAGGTTCTGCTCCGGAAGAAACTTTCCACTCGCGGATCGGTGGAATGCAGCGGTGTCATTGAGAAGATCAAAGCGAAAGGAGATGAAAGAGAGAAACTTAGAAATGCCCTATTATCATATT